TCGGCAGCCAGGCCTCTGCTGTCACCATGAGGTGGTGTTCTTGGCTTCAGTCATATGGCCTTTCTCACAAAGTTCAACAATCTATCCAGGACCTCCCCTTTGAAGACTCCTCTCTTTTCTTTTCTTTCTTTTCTTGGACACAAGATTTCATGGCCTGAAGGACTCAAGGGCCACCCTATATTCTTTAGCCCTTTACGCTCCCTCAGCTTCCAGGAAGCAATTCAGGCCCCAGCACCCTTGTTAGTTTTTGACACCTCCAAGACAGGAGCCCTACAAAAAAAAAGGCAGAAGTTATAAATGGCACCAACCACTTCCATCCACCTCAGCCTTCCAGTTGGGGTCTCAGAGATGCAGTGGCAGGCCCAAGCCGGCCTTTTGAAGGTGTGCCCAAGGGCACTGTACTAGTTGCTGTTTCAGATCTGCCTCCCCTTTTATTTTTGGACTGTCTATTCATCTTCAGCCCAGCATGGACATACATAACATTGGCCTCTGGTGCCAAGAAGAACTCTCCCTGCACATAAACGTCAGGGAGTTCAGGGTATTCTTAGTATGGTAAGTATTCCTTCCCCAGATCTCAAGCAAGGTGGTGCGAGTCCTGACAAACAATACTGTGGCCATGTTTTACATCAACAAACAGGGAGAGGTTCAATTTTCAGCCTGGTGTCAGGAGGCCATCCATCTGTGGGACTTCTGCACGAAGCACTCCATTCATCTCAAGGTGTCGCATCTCCTAGGAGCCCAGGATGTACAGGTTCAGCAGATCTTGCTAGGCAGTAGAAAGCCTTCCACCAGGGAAATGTACTTGCCCAAGTAGAAGTGTTTCTCTTTGTGGGCTTCTGAACGTGCTTTCTCTCCATCTTGATCTTCGCTTCAGTCTATCTTGGACTGTTTGCTCCACTTAAAGCAGCAGGGCCTGGCCCTCTCATCTATTAAAGTGCACTTAGCAACCATTTCAGCCTTCCACCCTACAGTGAACAGCAGGTCAGTCTTCTCCCATGAAATGACAGTTCGGTTTCTCAAGAGGCTGGAAAGGCTCTATCCTCAGGTCTGTGAGCCGACCCCCCTCCCATGGGACTTAAATCTGGTTCTGTCAAAGCTCACAGGTCCCCCATTGAGCCATTAGCATCGGGCCCCCTGCTACTTTTCTCTTGGAAGGTTGCCTTCCTGGTGGTGATCACCTCAGCCAGAAGGATCTCTGAAATCAAGGCCTTTATATCAGAACCACCCTATAAGGTGTTCTTCAAGGTCCAACTTCGTACCCATCTGGCTTTCCTAACAAAGATGGTGTCACAATTCCATAACAACCAGGCCATTTTCCTACCAGTCTTCTTCCCGAAACCTCACAAGAACTCTGAGGAATAACGGCTTCACTTGTTGGATCTTAGGCATGCCCACGCCTTTTATATTGAGAGGACTAAACCCTTCTACAGATCCATGCAACTCTTCGTATCAATAGCAGAAAGGATGAGAGAGCTACCAGTATCAGCCCAGAGGAACTCGTCCTAGATAACCATCTACATCCGAGCTTGCTATGAGCAGGTAAATGTCCTGCCTCTGGTCATCTTAACTGCTCACTCCACAAGAGACCAATCATTGTCAGCACTGTTCCTCATGCAGGTCCCAATCCAACTGTTGTTCTTCGAGATGTATTGCTCATGTCCATTCCATGACCCACCCTCTTACCCCTTTGTCAGAGTTAACCGACAAGAAGGAACTGAGAAAGTGTGGGGCTGGCAGCACCCCTTATACCACACATAAGCATGCAGCTCCAGAGGGCACTAGAGTTGACCCAACTGATACCACTGAGGGAACAATCTCTGACAACAATGCATGCAGCGCGCATACACCCTAACATGGAACGGACATGAGCAACACATCTCAACAATAGTTACGAAAGGCTAGTAGCTGTTTTTTCCCTTCGGTTACACCTCACATTTCTCCCCAACATTGAGTTCCACATCAATCAAGCAATACACTTACCTGTATTGTTCCCCAAACCCTATGCTTCCTCTGAGGACAAGAGATTTCACTCCCTCAACATCCAGCATGCCCTGGCTTTGTACCTGCAAAGAACCAAACCCATTAGGAAATCTCTGAGGCTTTTTGTTGCCATAGCAGAAAGAGCTCATGCACAAGCCTGATCCTACCAGAGGATTTCTAAAGGGGTTTCAGGATAGTTCAAGCATCGGCTGCAGTTGCAGTGATAGGAATGGCAGTATTGCAAACATCTTTGCTGCCAGCTTCCTCATACCCTGATCCAGTATGAACACTGCTTGCCGGTCACCCACATGTGGTATACAGATAGGGATCATCAGTTGAAGTAGTAGTGAAGGTTACTTACTATTACTGGAGGTTCTTGGACATGTGTGCTCCCTATTTGTATTCCTCTGTCCACCCGCCTTCCCCTCTGCTTTGTATCCTGTTGCATTTGCAGTAAGAAGAGGAACTGGAGAGGTGTCAACCCGCACTGCCTCTTATACCTTTGTTCAGGAGCATGCGGGGCTCTACTGTGTATATGCGGGTCAATGGACACTGCTTTTGAAGAATTTCAGTACACAGGCGCATGGCACACATGTGTGTACCCACTTGTGGAATACAGATAAGGACCACACATCTTGAAGTTACAGTAAGTAATCTCCACTAAGGCTATGTCTTCACTAGCACTTTTGTCAGTTAGGGGTGTGAAGAAAACACACCCCTGACTGACATAAATTTCACCAACATAAGTGCTGGCTTTGTCAACAGGAGACTCTCTTCCACCAATATAGCTACCACCGCTCATTCGGGGTGGTTTAAATAGAGCAGCTACATGGGAGACCTTTCAGTGGTGCAGCTGCTGCAGTACAGCTGTGCTGTTGTAAGGTCTGTAGTATAGACATAGCCTTAGTTTGGTAACATTTCACAGGTCTCCAGTGGTGGCCGTCCCATTACTCTACACAAAGCTGAAGTACCCAAAATAGAAATTCAGGGTTGATGTTTCTAGAATAGTCAGGATAGCCTTTCCCAGAATAGGAGCACATAAAAAACAGCTCTGCTTGTTCTGTACCACATGTTAGTAATAGGCAAAAAAGTATCTTAAAGAATTGATTTCTAGTTGGTTAAAGTACAGCACAAGAGAGGCATACTGAATGTCAAAAACTTCCAGAAAAGATTAAAGCTCATGAGACAAAGGCATTAGCTACTTATTAGACCCAAAAAATTTTTGTCCCCCAAGTGGCAGCATAAACATCAATGGACTGGCCTTTCTTGAAGGAAAAAAAGTGTCATGTGTTTGTGTGTGATCAATCTGTTATCTATACTGCAAAGGCATTAGGTTTTGTTTTTTCTCTTTAGTTATGTAGATCAGTGGTTTTCAAACTGCGGGTCACAACCCAGTACTGGGTCGTGGAATGGAAGGCACTGGGTTGCGGTGGCTCTGGTCAGCACCGCTGACCAGGCCGTTAAAAGTCCCGTTGACAGTGCTGCCCAGCAAAGGCAGGCTAGTCTCTACCTGTCCAGCTCCTAGGCGGTGGGGGGGGGGGCTCCGTGCACTGGCTCCACACAACCATGAGAGCTGGGGGAGGGGCAGTACCTGCAGGCAAGAGCCGTGCGGAACCACTTGTGCGCCTCCGCCTAGGAGACGGACCTGCTGCTGGCCGCTTCCAGGGTGCAGTGTGGTCCACAGTGCCAAGACAGGCAAGAAGCCTGCCTTAGCACCCCTGCTGCGCTGCTGACCAGGAGTCGCCCGAAGTAAGCCAGCGCCCAATCCTCTGCCCCAGCCCTGAGCCCCCCAAAACCTGGAGCCCCTTCCTGTACCCTTAACCCCCTCCCGTGGCCCCAGCCTGGAGCCCCCTCCTCCACCCAAACCCCACATTCCTGGCCCCACCCTGCAGCCCTCACCTCTGCACCCCAACCTTGTGCCCCAGCCCTGAGCCCCTCCCACACACCAAACCCCTCATCCCCATTTGGTCTCGGGCATCAACAATTTTCTTCAACTGGGTCACCAGAAAAAACGTTTGAAAACCACTGATGTAGACGTTGGGGAAGCTGCTGTAGCTATGAGCCTCTCCCATATGACAGTATCCTTCCATTACTAACCAAAATGTTAGACGAATCTTTAACCTTCCAACTTGCCCATTTATGACACCATCATTCAAAATGTGTGAAAAATTAATGAAATGTGAAACATCCGTTTTTTACATCATGATTAAATTATGTTTTTAAGCTATCAATTCTATTTTAAGAGTGCTTTCTCACTCTGTGGATTAAATAAAGCAGTGTTCTAAACAGTTCTATCACAATCATAAGACTCCTAACTCCTCAGAGATCTGTGCTGGGTTGAAATCTTGCTGCCTCTGAGCAACAGAAGTAATTGCTGTGTAGACCAACCATAGACTTGGTATACTCTCTTTCTGTGGGTAATGTTGCTAGACATGAGTAGAATACTGGAGAATGGAACTCTTGGATTCTTCCTCTCCTTCTGATTGTGACCTGGTGGTTAGAGATAGGATAACCAATGCCTACTGATTTGGCACTTTTATTTTGAGAAGTGTGACTGATTGGATAAGATGTGTGTCTGCCATATTAATGACCTAGACTCTACTCCTAGCAGTGTGTGAAGAGGCCTTGTGCATCCTCTGTTAACTTATTTGTAAAATGGGAGATTAATATTTGACTGTCTTCTACGGTTGGGGTGCAAGGTTTTCAGCGTTAAGGCCTATGAAGTGCAGAAATATTAGCTCACAGTAGAGGTGAGATTTGAATTTGTCTACTAATTTCAAGATCAGTGCTCTTCCCCTAGGTTACAGGGTACTTGGTTGGGGACTCTCCTGGAACACTTCCCAACTTGGTGGTATGGGAAGGTGGACTGAGCTCAAATGCAGAATGTTGCACAGCCCTGATGTTAAAACTTTCCAGCTGGTTTGGTGACAGTTTGTATTCCTGCTGGATGATTTACTAACACTATAAGGAAACTGTAGGCAGCAATTGTATACCATTTTCATCTATTTTTCCCACTACAGGTTCTCTCCTTTTGCTTGACTGTGTTGAGCCGACGATTTGAGTTTCAAGCTGATGCATTTGCCAAGGAGCTTGGGAAGGCTAAAGACCTATACTCTGCTCTGATCAAATTAAACAAAGATAATTTGGGATTTCCTGTTTCTGACTGGATATTTTCAATGTGGCATTATTCCCACCCTCCCCTGTTAGAAAGACTTCAAGCCTTGAAGGATGCAAAGCAAGACTGACTGGAATCATTGTTGGTTCAGAGACCGTGCTTCCATCTCAGAAGCAAAATTCAGAGCTGTTTTTTATTTTTTTAAAGTAATCCTTCCAGTGTTCCCTGATCTGAATGCAGTTAGCTTCTGAAATGTGTGTTAAATTTACTGAACTGAATTTTTAAGAAAATAACTTGTGGGACTGAATTTGGAGAATATATTGTATAAAGGCTTTTCCTTTTCACTAAATTTTATCTTTAAATGACAGAACACTTCGAGGGAAAGCAATTCCCCTTGTCCCCAGAAGCAAACACCCCTTGAGTTTGTGTAAATTTTGAATGTGGCTTTTGACATTTTGACAATTTCTCAGTTTTTTGTAAAGTGAACTGTAGCTTTTCGCCCTCATCAGTTTGATTGGCGGCACTGTGCTCCTAATTCACAGTGAAAAAGGTTTGGGTGACTTAACTCCTCATGTGACAAATGCTTATGCTAGTTAATCACTGTTCAAATGTATTTAAAAAGTGGCTGTATTGGATAGAAGGCTCACCTTTTCCATGGATTCAAATTCCTGTGTGCAATGAATGAAAAAGCTACTTTCATAGGTATAATAAAACTGCCTCGTCTTTCAATGGAGGAATAACAATAAATTCCATCTCCAGAATGTGTGGGATCATTCTTGATGAAGTCCTCACTTGTGCACTCTAACCAGCAGCCCTATACTGGGGCTTGGTGTCCGCTCCAGTGACAGCTCCTCACCCTTCATTGAGCCTGTGGACAATGGAGGAGGGGCTACAGAAAGGCAGCAAGAAGATCCATAGAAGGGAGGAAAGCTACCAACTTTTTGTCATCCCTGTGTCCCCTCCCGCCCCACTTCCCCAAAACTCCTGCTACTTCCAAGGAGTGGCAGCTGCTCATAAGAATGGATATACTGGGTCAGACCAATTGTCCATGTGGCTCAGTATCCTGTCTTCCAATAGTGGCCAGTGCCAGATGCTTCAGAGGGAATGAACAGGACAGGGCAATTATTGAGTGACCCATTCCCTCTGGTCAAGTCCCAGCATCTGGCAATCAGAGGCTAAGGAATACCCAGAGTATGGGGTTGTCCCCCTGGCCATCTTGGCTAATAGCCATTGATGGACTAATCCTCCACAAATTTATCTAAAGTTTTAAAGCCTGCTGCCTATTAATTTCATGAGGTGACCCCGGTTCTTGTATTACGTGAAGGGATAAATAATACTTCTTCGAGTATTCCATGCTCATGTCCATTCCAAGTAGGTGTGTGTGTGCTGCGTGCAGGATCGGCGGAAGGTTTTTCCCTAGGAATATCCATCGGGTCGGTTGTGGAGCCCCCAGGAGTGGCACCTTCATGGCGGTGTATATAGGTCCTTGCCGACCCACCGCCTCTTCAGTTCCTTCTTACTGCCGGTGGCGGTCATTGGAGCAGCTCCTCTCTTGCATTAGCCGGTATCAAGCTGAGTGCCCCAGGGGTCGGTCCTGGGGCCAGTTTTGTTCAACATCTTTATTAATGATCTGGGTGATGCGATGAATTGCACCCTCAGCGAGTTCGCAGATGACACTAAGCTTGGGGGAGAGGTAGATATGCTGGAGGGTACGGGTAGGGTTCAGAGTGACCTAGACATATTGTACTTGTGGCACCTTAGAGACTAACAAATTTATTAGAGCATAAGCTTTCGTGGACTACAGCCCACTTCTTCGGATGCATATAGAGTGAAATATATATTGAGATATATATACACACATACAGAGAGCATGAACAGGTGGGAGTTGTCTTACCAACTCTGAGAGGCCAATTAAGTAAGAGAATAGCCACCCGCACAAATGGACACAAATCTGACATCAGGAATCATAATACTTAAAAACCAGTGGGAGAACACTTTAACCTGTCTGGTCATTCTATGACAGACCTGCGGGTGGCTATTTTACAACAGAAAAGCTTCAAAAACAGACTCCAACGAGAGACTGCTGAGCTGGAATTGATATGCAAACTAGATACAATCAATTCAGGATTGAATAAGGACTGGGAATGGCTGAGCCATTACAAACATTGAATCTATCTCCCCTTGTAAGTATTCTCACTCTTCTTATCAAACTGTCTGTACTGGGCTAGCTAGATTATCACTTCAAAAGTTTTTTTCTCTTAATTGGCCTCTCAGAGTTGGTAAGACAACTCCCACCTGTTCATGCTCTCTGTATGTGTGTATATATATCTCCTCAATATATATTTCATTCTATATGCATCCGAAGAAGTGGGCTGTAGTCCACAAAAGCTTATGCTCTAATAAATTTGTTAGTCTCTAAGGTGCCACAAGTACTCCTGTTCTTTTTGCGGACACAGACTATAACACGGCTGCTACTCTGAAACTAGACAGATTGGAGGATTGGGCCAAAAGAAATCTGATGAGGTTCAACAAGGACAAGTGCAGAGTCCTGCACTTAGGAAGGTAGAATCCCATGCACCGCTACAGGCTGGGGACCGACTGGCTAAGCAGCAGTTCTGCAGAAAAGGACATGGGGATTCCAGTGGACAAGGAACTGGATATGAGTCAGCAGTGTGCCCTTGTTAAGAAGGTCAATGGCATATGGGCTGTATTAGTAGGAGCCTTGCCAGCAGATCGAGGGAAGTGATTATTCCCCTCTATTTGGCACTGGTGAGGCCACATCTGGAGTATTGCATCCACTTTTGGTCCCCCCACTACAGAAGGGATGTGGACAAATTGGAGAGAGTCCAGTGGAGGGGCAACTAAAATGATTAGGGGGCTGGGGCACATGACTTACGAGGAGAGGCTGAGGGAACTGGGGTTATTTAGTCTGCAGAACAGAAGAGTGAGGGGGGATTTGATAGCAGCCTTCAACTACCTGAAGGGGGGTTCCAAAGAGGATGGAGCTAGGCTGTTCTCAGTGGTGGCAGATGACAGAACAAGAAGCAATGATCTCAAGTTGCAGTGGGAGAGGTCTAGGTTGGATATTAGGAAACACTATTTCACTAGGAGGATGGTGAAGCACTGGAATGAGTTACCTAGGGAAGTGTTGTAACCTCCATCCTTAGAAGTTTTTAAGGCCCGGCTTGACAAAGCCCTGGCTGGGCTGATTTAGTTGGTGTTGGTCCTGTTTTGAGCAGGGGATTGGACTAGATGACCTCCTGAAGTCTCTTCCAACCCTAATATTCTATGGTTCCCTAGTGGACTCTCCTTTTCACTCTGTAAATAGTTGAAAGTCTTAGCCCTGGTCTACACCGTTTAGGTCGAATTTAGCAGCGTTACATCGATTTAACCCTGCACCCGTCCACAAGACAAAGCCGTTTTTTCTACTTAAAGGGCTCTTAAAATCGATTTCTGTACTCCTCCCCCAACGAGAGGATTAGCACTGAAATCAGCCTTGCCAGGTCAAATATGGGGTAGTGTGGTCGCAATTTGATGGTATTGGTCTCCAGGAGCTATCCCAGAGTGCTCTATTGGGACCGCTCTGGACAGCGCTCTCAACTCAGATGCACTGGCCATGTAGACAGGAAAATGCCCGCAAACTTTTGAATCTCATTTCCTGTTTGGCCAGCGCGGCAGTCTGCAGGTGAGTGCAGATCTCATCAGCAGAGGTGACCATGATGGAGTCCCAGAATCGCAAAAGAGCTGCAGCATGGACCGAACGGGAGGTACGGGATCTGATCGCTGTATGGGGAGATGAATCCGTGCTATCAGAACTCCATTCCAAAAGATGAAATGCCAAAACATTTGAAAAAAATCTCCAAGGGCATGAAGGACAGAGGCTGTAACAGGGACCCGCAGCAGTACCACGTGAAACTTAAGGAGCTGAGGCAAGCCTACCAAAAAACCAGAGAGGCAAACGGCCGCTCCGTGTCAGAGCCCCAGACATGCCACTTCTATGATGAGCTGCATGCCATTCTAGGAGGTGCAACCACCACTACCCCCACCCTGTGCTTTGACTCTGTCAATGGAGTAGCACGCAACAGGGATGCGGGGTTTGGGGACGAGGAAGTTAGCTCACAGCAAGCAAGTGGAGAAACTGTTTTCCCCGACATCCAGGAACTGTTTCTCACCCTGGACCTGGAGTCAGTACCCCCCGAACCCACCCAAGGCTGCCTCCCGGACTCACCAGGTGGAGAAGGGACCTCTGGTGAGTGTACCTTTGTAAATATTATACATGGTTTAAAAGCAAGCATGTTTAATGATTAATTTGTCCTGGCATTCGCAGCCAGTACAGCTACTGGAAAAGTCTGTTAACGTGTCTGGAGATGGATCGGAAATTCTCCAGGGACATCTCCATAAAGCTCTCCTGGATGTACTCCCAAAGCCTTTGCAAAAGGTTTCTGGGGAGAGCAGCTTTATTCCGTCCTCCATGGTAGGACACTTTACCACGCCAGGTCAGTAACACGTAGTCTGGAGTCATTGCATAACACAGCATATGGTCCCAGTGTTTGCTGGCATTCAAACAATATCCATTCTTTATCTCTCTCTGTTATCCTCAGGAGAGTGATATCATTCATGGTCACCTGGTTGAAATAGGTTGATTTTATTAAGGGGACATTCAGAGGTGCCTGTTCCTGCTGGGCTGTTTGCCTGTGGCTGAACAGAAATGTTCTCCACTGTTAGCCACGCGCTGGGGGGAGGGGTGAAGCGATCATCTCAGAGAATTGGGTGTGTGGGGGAGGGTTAATTGGGTTTGTGCTACAAGTTAACCTGAAAACCGCAGCCCCTCCTTTTAAATTGCCAACCCATTTTAAATGGCCAACCCAACGGCTGCTTGGTATGGGAAATGAGGGCTCATAGACTCATAGACTTTAAGGTCAGAAGGGACCATTATGATCATTTGGTCTGACCTCCCGCATGATGCAGGCCACAAAGCCGTCCCTACCCTTTCCCTTGACTCTGCTGTTGAAGTCTCTAAATCCTGTGGTTTAGAGACTTCAATTAGCAGAGAATCCTCCAGCTAGCGATCCATGTCCCATGTTGCGGAGGAAGGTGAAAAACCTCCAGGGCCTCTGCCAATCTACCCTGGAGGAAAATTCCTTCCTGACCCCAAATATGGCGATCAGTAAAACCCCGAGCACGTAGGCAAGATTCTCCAGCTTGACCCTCATTAGCCATTATACTGTTTACCAGCGATGGCATGCTGTTCCTTTGACTAAAATCACGTTATCCCATTAAACCACTCCCTCCATAAACTTATCTAGCTTAATCTTAAAACCAGACAGGTCCTTCGCCCCCACCGTTTCCCTCGGAAGGCTGTTCCAATATTTCACCCCTCTGACAGTCAGAAACCTTCATCTAATTTCAAGCCTAAACTTCCCCACGGCCAGTTTATATCCATTCGTTCTTGTGTCCACATTAGTACTGAGCTGGAATAATTCCTCTCCCTCCCTGGTATTTATCCCTCTGCTGTTTGAAACCATTCCCATATGTTATGAAGGTTAAAGAAGCCAAAAGACTTCATCTTACCATGGCTGCCTGCAATCCAAATTCTGTTGCCAGGCCCTGCGTGAGTGATCTCTCACACCAAACCGGCATACCCTCAATAAGAGGCAAAATGCAACCTTGAACCGAAAGCACATGTGCTATGTAATGTTAACAGCAAGGTTTACCATGAAAGCGTCTACCCATTGTTCTCTAAAATGTGACTTTTTAACTA